TTAACGTTAAAGTTATTATTATTTTTATTTTTTGTTTTAATAAAATGTATTTAGTTTTTTCCTTTTTCTAAAATACAATATATCCGTCATGTATCAAAGAGTTTTTGAGATAATTGGAAATTTGTCTCTCACGTTTGCAGTCAGAATTGTACAAAATTCAACTAATCCTATAAAACTAAAGAGAAAAATCGTACGTCATAATCATCATTACGATATTAATGGTGATATTTTTTTAAATTATAACTTATTGACGCCTTGTATGGTAAACGTTTTAAGAATATTTTTTATGTTGTTTCTGCTAAGACTTCGATGGGTTGCCTATTAAAAAAAACGCATATCTTTAATGGTGACTATGAGTAAGAGAAATTGCCACCCAAATTGATGATAATGGTTCAGTTATAAAATTAAGCATATTTTTACCCATGTTTAATTAACCTACTATTACTTTTAAAGTGGTATGGACTACTACAATAAACCGTTACATAACTCTGTAAATTATCTGCTGATGACAATAACTTGATTAACAAAACAAGCGCTCTGAAGCTGAAGTTCTAATTTTTCTTCCACGACAGGCTGCAACTCTTCGCATTTGCATGGGTTTGTGCAGTTGACATTTATACTGAACAGCATACGCTTCAGTCAACAGGGAATATGATAATTCCGAAATCAAAATTTCCATTTCCTGGGATTGCCATAAATAGCGTATTTAAATCGAGTTTAATAAAATACCGCTGTTTTGTTTTCTGTTAGCAGGAGTGACTTCAAATTCCAGTCAATAGTCTTTTTTTTTGTAATTTGAAGTATAATATGATGTTTGTAATATTTAAAAATTTTATATTTTGTAATTATATAAGTGAAAAAAAAAACAATGATGTAAAGATGACAACAGATAAATATCTAATTGGTGCTACTAGTTCCTTTGTTCTCGTAGGTAATGAGCGCCCCGAATTTTCAATTCACATCAAATGTTTTATTCCAACTTTTTTACAAATTATTCATTTACAAATTGAAAAGGTCCATATTCGAAGTATATTTCTCGACGACAACGGTCGTAAACTTTTATGGCGTAACTTAATATCTGTCAATTAGTTCATGGTAATATCTGTTATTGAATCGGATTGGGGTTATCACGAGCCTAGTCTTTAGTCCATTGTCTGCAGCAAAATCAGATAGCATGCCTAATAACGTATTTGGAAAATAATTCGTCTGTCAGATAAGGGTCGCCCTGTCGACATAAATAGAATGATTTCCCGCTGAAAGTTGAATTGCTATTCCACTAAACGCCAGCTGTTTCTTGTTGAATATTGTAAATAAAATTTGTTGATAGTTTCGGACAAAGCTAATCTCTCTTAAATGAATAAGGGATTGAATTACCTAATATGATTTCTTATTTGCCGATATTATATCCGAAAATTTAATCAGTTATTTTATTATCAGCTACACCATAATAACAATCTTAAGGGCTCTCTCTCCCCTGAAGTAAATGGTTGCCAACAATAACGATTTTAGAAACTAAAGCAAATTACTGCTTACTAAGAACACGTTTGATAAGTTGGTTTGATAAACGTTCAAATTTATCACTTTAAAATAGCTGCAAGTTAAGCGTGTTTCAACAAACAATATAAGCTAATCATTATATAATAAAAATATGACTGGAATGTTTAGCAAATATTGCATGAAAAACTTACTGCCGTGATTACCATTTCTAAGTTGTATTTCCACTGCTTTTTAACATTTAACTAGATACATTTCGTCACATTTTGGTTCATGGTAGTATTCTAATAGAAAGAGAAATGGCCTCAAATATTTTTTCTACTTACCATTCTTAAGTACCCATGTGCATTGATCAGGGCGTATGCAAAGTATCACTTTAAATATCAGTTTCATTAAACCTTTACACCATTTCCAGAGTTTGAAGCATTTTATTCACGGATTCGGTAGATAAATAGTGAAAGGATTCCTGTTGTTTCGCTAAAACTCGCTCCACTGCGCTTTGTTTATGTCTAAAGTGCCGTTTATAAGACGTTTTCAGGTCGTCTTCTTTTAAAACCAACTTTTTCTGTAAACTGTTCGTTTATATTTGCGTGTGTGTTTGATGTATTATTAAATTTGGCATGATCCGTTTTTAGATGGCTTCCCATAAGCACAAAAATATTTTACTGATGTTATTTGCGTAACAATTCAAAAATTTTCGAAAAAACTGAATAGTTCTCAGAACATTTACAAAAGCACCTCTTTTTACGACTAATTTTCAAGGTACAAACAAATGCTAAATACTCATGGTACTAACAGGCAGATGTTCAACATCAACAGCGTACTTTTGTAAATAACTGGTACAACATTCGGCGTCTTCAATTCAATTTCCCTTTTCAAAACACTTTATGTTGTTTAAAGAGACAAATTTTTTTTAGGATTTTTTTTCATTAAATTTAACTGCACATTACCCCAACCTTTTACTTAAACTCGTTTATATTGGAATATCGTAAATTGCGGCGATTACTAAATTTCAATGAAATACCGTGAATATTATTGCAAATACCATGTCATCATTAAAGTCCACACCATACGGGAAAATTTTTTATGCTTCGAATTGTAATAAAATCAATTTGTTTGGTTTTAAAATGTTTAAACCATATTAACTTTAACGTATTAGAAGATTTTTTTGAAGTCGAGTATTTAATATTAATTCAAAGAAAAACAATTTTTACAGTTTTTACAGAATAGTTACTATCATTAAAACTATTGCCTCTATACATATTTTGTCTGTTAGTAAAAAAAAAAAACAATTTTAAGAAGTTTCCATCCATTGGGAAAAATTTTGTAAGCCCCACCTTAATAAAGATTTACTTACACCTTCATGTAATGTTCGCATTTTAATTTTGAGCCACCATGCATGGTGGGACACTCCAGGTGACCTTTTGTTGCTACCGTATCGAATATAAAAAAATAATTGTTCATATCGCGCGTGGAGGTTATTACAAAATAACGAATCTACTAAAAGTTAGATGAGAAAAGGTAATTTCCATTGGACAATAATCTACAAAATAAATTTGCCAAGTGGGTTTCTAATAGATAACAGATACGTATTGGCGTTCAGTTCAATTAATCATTGCATTGGAAATAGACACGACGCAAGGTACGTAAATGTTAATTTAGAAAATTAATATTATTTCTATCGTAGCATATAGATCGATTTGATAAATTCGCGGTACGGGAGTGAAAGAAAGCAGATTTTGCGCCCGTTCCAGAGAAAACCTAGTTGCTTTCTGACTCACTCGTCTTGCGAGAATATTTAGGTTATCTGGAGTTTCCCGATTTTGATGGACCATTTGCCGTTTTAGATTAGATAGCGATGATATAATGATGGGGCACTTAAAACAAATTTTTTTCGTCGAAATGATGGCAAGCGATATAAGCTTTTCTTGAAACTTTCTGTTTATGAGCATTAAACGATTTTGATGCCTTCGAGAATCTTGATTTTTTCCTTGTATCCAGGATACAATAAAGATGATAAAAACATACAACAGTATATAGAAATGATTTTTGGTACACCAGCCATAAAAAATTCAGACAATTTGAAATTCAAGACTTGGTTTTTAAAGGAAGTTGAAAAAATAAAATGCGTTATTATTTAGCAACTATTTTCTCGAAATTATGTACAAACGAACAAAAAATACACTATTTACTATATGTGAAATACCTTATTTCCCAGCTCCTCATAATTATGGTAAAAATAAGTGAACTAAGAATGAGAATGACAACAGAAACATCAATAACTAAGCGAGTGGAGAGACTCATATTAATAGAATGCTCTATCGCTTTTGTGCATTGTCTTAAAAATTACATTCACTGTTTACCTAAATATTTCCAATAAACTTCAATTTTCTGCATTTATCTACCAGATACCGAAAGAATTTGCCTTATTTGCTAAATTACTGGTTTTAGATGAATACTTTGCATTAATAATTATATATATATATTTACTACCAAAATTTCTATCCAACTGATATTGATTGATTGATTGATTGTTGCCGCTATTTATATTTAAAAGGAAAGCTTTTTTGAAACCACATTTTTGGTAATATCTTTGCTGCTGATTATTTTTTATACTGATTTTAATGCACGCATAATAATCGTGGCTCGTTTTTCATTCTCTCTGTTCACGTATGAAAAAGCCATTTAGAATAATTATTTAGAATATTATTTCTATTTATTAATAGCCAAAAAAACAAGAAATTTATTGTTAACATTCGATATTACTTCATCCGTAGTATTTCCAGTTCTTAATATGATTTTTTCTACTCCCGTCTGTAAAATGCCTAATTACTCACCGATCTAGCGTGCGGGAAATGTCGCTTTACCACGTCGGTTTTGTTTTCCACGAATCCAAGCCATTTCGGACATTTTATTGCACGGGTTTGGGAGTAATCGGAAGTTTTCGGATATATTTCCCAAGCTTTGAATTTTGACGTTTGTCAATTCTGACAGTCATGTCAGTGAATGTATTCGTGTTTTCCGAAAATGTACCCAAAAACTAACGGTCGTAGAAAAAGTATAGTATGCAACACGTTCGGTAAACTTTTCCACTCATTCGTTTATTAAACACTCGCTCCGCTCGTGTCAAATAAACTCGTGAGTCAAATGCCGTTTACCGCACTTGTTGCATAATATACTATTAAAATCCTTATTTTCGGATTTCGGATTCAGAATTTTCAGGAAAAACAAACGGAAGTCATTTTTCTAATAAGGTTCTTCGCATAGCGAGTGTTTTCCTAAGGGTCGCTGACAGGTCGAAGGATACCTATAAGATAACTTCAAAAAGCTATTAACTGCGACACCCAGACGCACCAGAAGAAGCAAAATCAGGCCCGCGGGCAGTGCACAATATATCCCCCACACGGCTTCTTTCTTCCTCCACCTAGTTGCTCTGCGCTTTGTGAGAGTGAATGATCTGATATCACTGACGTCGTCTCCATAGGCAGGCAGTCGCCGTTCGGAATCGAAAGCATTTGGTCGCCAGTTGACGTGAATTGGTCGCCTCGCTTACGTACGAAAGCGTTTGTTTATTTACGCACTCGTCTTTTCCCAAATCTTCTCGTGTTCCGTGTTTTGTTATGGTTCTGTGACGTAGGTTGGTTAATTGGACTTTTTTTTTCAAAATTTGAGACGAAATCTCTCGCAATGTTGGTCTTTGAGGTAAGTAGAATATTCGCCGCGTTTGAAGCTCTAATTTTTTGTCATTAATATCTAATTTTTTTCTGGTTGTCCTTTTTCTAATGTCATGTCTTATACAAAAATATTTATTTTTGCATAAATTGTAAGTACTGTACCGGAATTTGATAAGATGTATTTTTTCTTAATTTTTTTTACTTTCTGGTATTTATTAATAAAAAAAAATTGTGGAAATTAATCTCAATTATGTTCTAATAAATGTAGTGCCCAAAATTTGATAAGATTTTAGGCTAGAGTGATTAAAGAATTCAGTGTGTTTGTAAATATGTATTTATTATTTTGATGGTATAGTAGGACGGTGGCGAGGGAATGTGAAAACTTTTTATTGATATAAAAGTCTACAATAAAAATGGAAATAATTGTTCCAAGTATACCTACATGTTTCGAGTGTTTGGATGATATACTATAAAATATGGTGTAAGTTTCCTAAGTCATTGATTTGCAAGAGACTTTAACTTTGGCCTCAGTAGAGGTGAAGCACTAAATTATAGTATTTACAGTATTCCTGCTAAGAGTAAATCACATACGGAAGCTTAAGTAGCCTCGCCCGCGACTAAACTCACCACAATGTTCCGTTTTAAGATTACGAATATTCTTATCGCCTTATCTTAGTCTCTAAATAAGGTCGAATTGGACTGTTTACAGCATGTATACTGTAATTGCTTTTTTGATAGCACGTTCTGACAATGGGTGCAGCATAAACGTTCTTCAAAGTTCGTTGGTAGATAACATCATTGACCAATTATTTTGCTAAAGGAGATTCTTCTTCTTCTTCTTCTTTTTGGCACTACAACTCTGGGTGAGTCTTGGCCGCATACACTATTGTCCTCCAGCTCTGTCTATCCTGAGCTTCCAATTCCCAAAGGGTTATACCCATTTTCCTCGCGTCCTCCGTAACTGCGTCTTTCCACCTCCTTCTAGGTCGGCCAACAGATCGCTTTCCTTCTGGCCTTTCACAGTATATGATATTTAAGAGTCTCTGATCATTGCTCCTAACAACATGCCCTGCCCATCTCAGTCGACCAGATTTAATACATCTTACTATGTTTTCCACACCATATAGTTGTTCAAGTTCATTATTATTTCGACGTCTCCATTCTCCTGTTACAATATCCCTGGTTGATCCAAAAATCGCTCGTAGTATTTTTCTTTCGAAGACCAGAAGCTTGTCGGTTTCTCTTTTGTTTAGGACCCACGTTTCGCTACCGTATGATAAAACAGGGCGTATTATGGTCTTATATATTTTTATCTTAGTTCCTCTTGTAAGTATTTTGGATCTAAGGAATCCTGATAGCGCATAGAAAGCCCTATTTGCCGATGCAATACGTGCGGCTACCTCTTTTTCGTTCCTGTTGTCATCTGTTATTGTCGCTCCTAGGTATTTGAACTCTTTTACGACTTCAAAATTGTAGTTATCTATTGTAATATTTTGCCGTATTCTTTGCCTGGGGTTCTTAGACGTTATCATATATTTAGTTTTAGCTTCGTTGATCCTTAATCCCATTCTTTGAGCATGATTTTCAAAAGAGGAGAATATTTCTCTAACATCTATAGTATTATGTGCCACAGCATCTATGTCATCGGCAAAGGCTAACATAAGTTTCGTACCATCCGTTGCGAAACCCGGTGTTATTTGGGGAGAGATTTTCTTCATGGCCCAGTCCAGAGCCAGGTTAAAAAGCAAAGGGGATAGAGGGTCTCCCTGTCGCAGGCCTGTATGTATTTCAAATATTTCTGACGTAGTCTCACCAATTCGTACTTTTGCTTTGGAGCCCCCTACGCACATTCTAGTTAAACTTATTAATTTTAATGGGATTCCCAATTCCCTCATTGCATACCATAGCTGATCCCGGTTGACTGAGTCGTAGGCCTGCTGGAAATCCAAGAATATTTGGTGTATGTCTTTATTGAATTCCCAGCATTTCTCCATAATCTGGCGGACTATAAAGATTTGATCCGTCGTAGACCTCCCCGGTCGGAATCCACATTGGTAATCTCCTAATATTTCCTCGGCATATGGTGTTAGTTTCTGCACAAGGATCAATGTCACTATCTTATAGGTGGTATTTACCAATGATATTCCTCTATGGTTACGACAGTCCGCTTTCTTTCCCTTTTTATGGATTGGTATTATTATGCTACTGTTCCACTCATCTGGCATCTTTTCGCGTTTCCATATAGTTGATATGATCTGGTGTATCATTTGGTGTAGTTCATTTCCTCCGTTCTTTACGAGTTCTGCATTAATTTCGTCTTCCCCTGGGGATTTGTAGTTCTTTAATTTGTTGATAGCCTTCTTAACGTCATCTAGTGTAGGCGGTTCCAATTCCAATTCTGCAGTATAGAAGTGCGTGTCTTTGTCACTTCCATCTACTTGTCTATTAAGCAGTTCAGAGAAATATTGCCCCCATCTTTGAATTATATCATCCTCCGACGTCAGTAGTCTTCCGGTGCTATCTTCTACAAAATTTAGTTCTCTTATCGTCTGTCCTGTTTTTCCGATTCTTATTCCTCTATAAAATTCTCTTACTTGGTTGTTCGTGTTGTTTTCCTCTATTCTTCTTACTCTTTCCTCCAAATGTTCCTTTTTCTTCTTTCTCAGTAGTCTTCTGGCTTTGGCACGTGCTATATTAAATATCTCCTTGTTTTCATTCGTGGGGTTCTCCAAAAAAGTCATTCTTTTTCTAGTCTTCTCATCCAATATATTTTTACATTCTTGGTCGTACCATCCATTTTTCTGACTCCCTGTTGTTGTTCCTATAGTTTCACTAGCTGCTTCTCTTACTATCGTCTTTAATTGTTGCCATTCGACTTCAACATTTTCTTCAGTAGTTTCAGTTTGTAGCATTTGCATTTTGTTCCTAATTGCTTCTTTATATTCTTGTACCTTTTGAAGTCTTGTAAATTTGTTTATGTCCCATTTTTTCCTCGTTTCTTTCGTGCTTGATCTTTTGGTGGACAGTTTCTCTTTCAATTTGGATCTTACTAAGAAATGATCTGAGTCACTATCTGCCCCCCGCATGCTTCTGACATCTTCAATATTACTGGAAAAACGACCATCTATCAGGACGTGGTCAATTTGGTTTTGCGTTACTCCATCGTTGGATACCCATGTTATTTTATGGATGTTCTTTCTTTGGAATTGAGTGCTCCTAACCGACATGTTCATTGCTATTGCGAAGTCTGCCAATCTGTCCCCATTATCGTTTGTTACGTTGTGTAAACTATGTCTTCCCACTACACATCTCAGATGGTCTTCCTTTCCTAGCTGGGCGTTGAGGTCCCCCATTATGATTTTTATGTCGTTCCTGGGAGCTGCTCGATATTCCTGTTCTAACATCTCGTAGAATTCGTCTTTCTTTTCACCTTCTGCTTCATTCGTCGGGGCATGTACTGAGAACATAGTTACGTTGTGCCACCTTCCTTTCACTCTGAGTTTGCATATTCTGTTGTTCACCGGCTTAAATGCTATAATAGCCGTTCGATATTTTTTGCTTACAACAAAACCACATCCGAATTCATGTATATTTTCAGACCCTGACCAAAACACTAAAGAGTTCTGCATTTGTACACTGCCTGTGCCTAGCCATCTAATCTCCTGAATGGCAGTAATGTCCATCCGGTACCTTTCCAATTGATCGATCGCTCTTGTAGCTATTCCTGGTCTAAACCAGCTTAAAACGTTCCATGTGCCTAATAGAATATCCTTATTTCGTAGCCTAGGTCGATTATCCTGGTTATCCGTCCGTCTCCGAGGCAAAAGTGTTTGATTCGCAGCGTATAAAGTTTTTCCATATGTAGGTTGCTGGCCTACAGTACAACCCCCAACCTGGAGGACCAGGTCTCAGAATTTATGACCCCCTGAGACAGGGTGGCTCGATTTTACCCCCCAAGCACCGGGTTGGCTGTTTGCAGAGGTGGCCCTCTGGGCGGTGGGGTCGCCACATCCCTACGCCAAAGGAGATTGTACCGACTTTTTTATAATCTTTAATTCGTGGTTACTAGTCTGGAAAATATATCCGCTGCGCTCGTTATCTCGGAATAAAAGATGTTTACTTGAGTTGGATAATTTTTTATCACTTACATTTATTTTATTTATTAATGTGATTCACTAGTTAATTATTTCAAGTAACTTGCACTTAAGCGCGTGCAATCAAATGCGTTATTTTTCAACATTACACTTTAAAGGTGCGTAAATCTTCATCAATCCGGCGCACTTTCACTAGGAAGTTGCGCATACGGTAACGAATTAAAATAAACACACCGCAAGTAACAAACAAATGCTAAAAACTCATCGTACTGACAGGCAGATGTTCAGCATCAACATCGTACTTTTGTAAATAATTGGTACAACATCAGGCGTCTTGTTTTACATAAATAAAGTTTTGGTAATGGACGGATACATAAGGAATTGAAATTTCAAAACTGTCCTACCTTTTACGATTTTGAAATATTGAATATTTATCGAATTTGTAATTTTATAAAATTTCTTGTGCCGTGAACGAATAACAGCTGCTCCGAAGCACTGCTGGGCGCATCTGCACCCGAGATGGTTTTTACCCATCCAAACGAACAACTCCCATCGACCAGATTTTACCTGCACGGTGTCGCACCTGCTCGTGCAGTGGATAATTGTCGCTGTCATTTAATTTGACATTTAGTTTTGCCACTTTCACGATATTTAATAATTAAAAATTTCATCATTCCGTTTGTACGTGTTTGTACGTAATTACATCGTCACCTTTATTGTAAAAATCCGCGATTTTTATATTTTGCAACCTATTACAAAATGCAATACGAGTTATTTAAATAGGGTCCCCGCATGCGACGCCCAGATTAGAGTAGGGTACCGTATATTAGTAGGTACTATATTCAATTAAATTATGCAACAATTTTGATAAACCCCACTTTAGTAGCGTAATTTGGCACGAGCGGAACGCATTATTATTTTTACATTTTTCTAA